CGGCCGGGGCTGGCACCTGCTGCACGTCTGGGGGCGGGGCCAGCCCAGATTGCTCCGCGGGCGCACGTAAAGGGCCCAGCGGGCACCGGGTTGGGGACCACGGACCCAGCTGATTAACACAGTGTCCACAGCTAGCAGTATGTTTGGCGCACATCCACACGTGACTTAGTGTACATAACATTTATTCTGCACGTACATGGAAAAAATAGGGAATATGCTTTATGTGCACCAAAAGCACGTGCAATGTGCATCACTAGTAGAAACACATGCTGCTGGCTATGGGCACTATGCAAATCATCTGGGAACACTGCTGATGAACAGTCCCCCAGCACTAGTGCTCCAGGTCTTCCCCCTCCCCCCACACACACACCTCCCTTCCTGTGGGGCTGGAGCACACAGAATCTACTAGTTTGGGCCCCCTCAGGCTCTGGTGTGTGAGGGAAATGTGGGGGCATGTTGTTCTTTTCACTGAGGGGCCACGTGAATGAAGGGTGTTGGTATTTTTGCTTCTCTCTTGTGTGTGGCCCTTGACTGATTTTTTTTGTTTTCTGTGGGTCAGCAGCCCTCAACCCAAAAAAGTTTCCCACCTCTGGAATAAATCAAAACGAACCCGTCAGTTGCAGCATGCTGATATCCAAAGCAAAATGGCCGATGGATGGCCTCTAAAATAGAGCAAATGGTCGTGCGTCGTTTGAGTTTTTTTGATTTTGATTCAATGCATGTCATCTGTTGTTTCTCCCCTTTTTGTTTTTAGGGTAATCACTTTAAAGCTAAAATTATTGGAAATTTTAATCACTTTAAAAAAGTTTCCAGAAATTAAGCTTACAGAAATTAGTTACCCACTCTTATTTAGTACTTGTTTTGTCAATTAATTGAGTGTGGTGGGCTGTTCTGTCTGTTCCCTCCTCTGCACCTCCCATCATAAAATACGCTTTTTATTTCTTATCAATAGTCATTAATCTCTTAACATGAAAGCTGACTGCAAGAGTTGGATATGATACTTTCTTTAACTTCTCTTAAAGTGAAAGGAAAGGGAATAGCTAATCATTTTCTGAAACTTATTTTCAAACATTTAATTCTCTAAATAGATTTTCCTATTTCAAAGAATAGAGACTGATAGGCAGTGCATTTTCTCTCGTATGTGTGTTGGTTTTAATGCCTGGTTTTATAAACGGCTATGGTGTGGTTTTTTTAAGATTAGTTGCACAATCTTTAAGGAGTTGCTGGCATGCCCTTGCCAGCTCTGTTTGTTGTTCAGTGACTTTAAGAAAGGAATGGAGGTAGAAAACTATTTGATGATTGTCAAGCCGGCAAAATGAGTCTTCAGAATTTCAATATATTAAGAAATATGTTTTTTCCTCTTGGTAAACTACAAAGATATTAAATGAAATCCTAATCACTGCAACTTTGCTTCGTAGTTTTTCCAATCTGAGAATTTACCCTCATGGATTAGTATTGGTGGATCTGCAAAGCTACAGTGATGATATGAACGGCAGAGATGAAATTGATCATGTAAGTATACAACTAGCCTTCTCAAAGCACACTTATCAAGCTTCATGCGCTTAACTTAGCATCCAAGTTAGATGGGAGAGCTTTTCAAAGGAAGTGCCTCATAGCCATCATTTGGATGTGAAACTGCTTAGTGGTAGTGGAAACTTCCACACGCTATGTCTTAAAGTTATGTTGGAGAATCGGCTACTTTTTTATGCAGCGAGAGAGCCTCTATATGTTCATTTGATCCTTGGCCTCCAGGCTGATACTGCCAACACAATGTCCCGATTGTGATTGTAGCTGCTGTAATTTGGATACTATTCACTAGGAATTGGGCCAACTTCACATTGGTTTCATGTCGTCGTAACGTTGACCAGATCTGTATTGGTAATTTACAAGTGAAAGGCTATGTCTCCTTACTTGTCTCTTCAGATACCCAATCTAACAGGGTGTGAAAATATTGCACTGATAGGACCTGGGCCAGGGTGGAGTCCATGCACTAAAGTGGCCATGCTCGCCATGCTTGACAAGAGGAAGCTGCAGTCAGCATGGGGGAAGCCCAGAGAAGGGAGTGGCTGCTGAAGCATTAGGCAGAATCTACCCATGCCCCAGAGCTCTGCAAGGAATCAGATGAACCCCAGGGGGAAACCCAGAAGGGAACGACTGGCTTGGCTACCTGGCCAAGAGTCCCGTAAAGCTCCTACCCAGGCACTCCAGAAGTAATGTGTGCTACTGACCTCGTTCAGATTCAGGCTCAAGCCTACCCTTTCCTTCCATCTAAACACAAATTGTGCTAATGTGGGGCTTGGATCTGGATCTCAGGATCCCATGGGGAGTGCAGAGAGTCCAAGCCTGGGGTAAGCCACGATTCAGGGTCTGAGTCCTGTTGTTTTGCAGAGTAGGCACACCCCTACTGGACTTATGCTTTGGGATTCCATCAAAGGAATTCCACGCTCAGCTTTGTCCAACTTTTTGTCCTCTCAGCAGTCAGGTGTGGAGATCAGTCCAGGTTTCCCATGCTGCACCATGAACCAATGGCTAGAGCAACCACATACTGGGAAGGCGGAAGGGGTGGGGCCAGGGCACCTCTATGCTCCCCCACCCACATACCCTGATTGGCCTGAAGGGTGTGGGGGCGCATGTGAAGTTATTCTCCCCGCTCACCTGTAACCACCAGCTGTTCTGAACAGCTGGCGGTTCCCTCTGGGGCAGGAGAAGACTTGGTGTGGTTCCTCTTCCCACCCCCAGGTCAGTTAGGGTCTGGGGGTGGGGGAGTGTACAAAGTCTCTCGCTGCCTGCCCCCATCCTGCAAGGGGCACACAATGCGTAGAGTGAACCTCCAGCTGATTAGCTGGTGGTTCACTCTTAAGTGCCATGTGCTCCTGGCAGGGGAAGAGACCCTGATTCACCTGGGGGCAGGGAAGTGGCAGGGCATCTGTGGGCTGGATCAACACTCTTGGTGAGCCAGATCCATCTTGCAGAGGCTCTCTTGCCCACCCTAGTTCTAGGAAATCTGGGTTGCTAGGATGCAGTATAGAGACTAGTTGTAACTCAGGTTTTACAGCCCTGCAAATCTGAGCTAACTGTATAGATGTACCCAATGAGTAAAAGCCCAGGTCTATACAGCTGTGGCTGACTGGTTCAGTTGGCTCAGATTTGCGGGACTGTAAAATTTCAAGCCTGAATATCGTACTACAAGATTTCAGCCCTGCAAGGCTGACTCAGGCCAGCTGAGTTGGGCTGGGGGCCTCGGGTTGTGATGTAGGGAGATGTAGGTGTCCTGACTCAGGAATCCTTACCTCACAGGATCCTAGAGCCCTCACTGCAGCTTGAGCCTGACTTGCCCAAATCAGCTTACACAGGCCAGATGTGGGTAGAGACATACTCTACGAGTTTGGGGCCTGGATGGGGCCTCGACCCAGCTGCATAGACATCACAGGGAGATGCTTCTTGCGCCTAATTTAATTCTATTTCAAGTTACTGTATTGTGGGTGGGGAAGAGTATTTCTGACCTTAATAAATTCAACATCTTGCATGTTTCTTACAGCTTCTAAATAAGATAGAAGAAAGAATGAAAGAGTTGTTCCACAGCAGTTTCAAAAGGATAAAGCGGTAAGTAATTTTTAATGTCATCACTTTTAACTTGTCTTCTAGTTATAATGTTTAAAATAATCTTCTGGAGCTTTATGTACAATTTGGAATAACTTTGTATAGAATGCAATCTAACTAAATACAAGAAAAATGTAAAAAAATATATTTTTTTATGAATCCTATTTGGATTGTATTTTCTTGTAAAATCTGAGATTAATGTGTATTGGAGTGGGTGTCAACTATCTTCAGTTGTGTAGTACTGAATTTCTAATAATGATGAAGAAAACATTACTATGGAGATAAGAGAAAATTTCATGTACTGAGTTCGTGGTAAATGAAAGGAGAATGAGAAATGTTTACCATTCAGAATGAATTGTGAAGATTTTGTGTGTGTTCCTTCTTCAGATTGCCAGCAATTATGAGAGGAGAAGCCATTGATAGATACTGGCCCACAGCTGATGGCCGTTTGGTAGAGTATGACATAGATGAGGTTGTTTATGATGAAGATTCATCTTATCAGAATATTAAAATTCTACATTCAAAACAGTTTGGGAATATTCTTATCCTCAGTGGGGATGTTAGTAAGTATGGTCTTTTTTGCAATGTGCTTTTGGTCTGAAGATATAGGTCACTGGATTTTATCTGATCAGAATACACCTTTAGTGTTGCTGCAGTAGGAAGAATTTGTGTGCATGTGAGGGGAGGGAAGGGAAGGGGAGCATGTATGCATGTGTGTATACACGTGTGTGTGTTTTTAAAAAGCTTATTTTTAAAACAAAGTTTCAAAGAAAACGTACCAGTGAAGAGATCTCTTGTATATTTAGCCTTTTTCCACACCTAAGTTATGTAACAACCTCTGACAGGTACTTTCAAGGACAGGAAAGCAAATTCAGTGATCCATCTGGTAAATAATTGCCTATTGTTTGAAAGGACAAATGAAATGGTTTTCCCTAGTCTGCTGTAGGGTTTTATAACTTTCTTAGATGCTTATTTTTCCCTTTTAAAATATTTTGGCCTTTGGCCACCTGTTTTCTCCTTGTTAACTGATTTTCTTTGTTTGAGGCCAGCTAGGGACAGCTGTATTTCAGCCATTTAGCAGTCTCAGCCTCCTTGTCAATACTATTACTTTGAGTGCTTGCAGGTATCCATTCTGGTTTAGGTGTGTCTGTGCCCTGCTGTTGGAAATTTCCCTCCAGTGGTATCCATTGGTTTGGTTCTGATGCCCGCTGATGCTGTGCTGGTTTTTATACTGATAATGCGTAGCATTGTTTTAAGACGCCTTTGGCCTACTTTTATTTAGTGATTAACAGACTTCCAAATGCAAAGTTTCTGACCAGCATTCTCTTTGCTCCTTCCAGATCTGGCAGAGAGTGACCTGGCATATACACAAGCCATAATGGGCAGTGGGAAAGAAGATTTCACTGGGAAAGAAGTGCTGATCCTAGGAGGTGGTGATGGGGGTATACTGTATGAAATAGTCAAACTGAAACCAAAGATGGTCACCATGGTGGAGATATCCTTTCAGTAAATGACCATTCATTTTAATATGGGACCTCAAGTTAAATGTTTCTTGTATAAACTTTGTGTTGGGAGAGTGGTTCTTGCTAAGCTAAAAAAAATAGGGATGGTTATAGACCCATGCAGGCTCTGACAGTGAGAGCTGATCCTGGTCTTATAATATAGGCTAAGTTCCTAATCCAAACTGTAGCTCTCAGGCAGCATTTTCTGCACGTTGAGCTGAATCTGAACTTCCTTATTGTAGGTATCTTATGGCTCTTGATGTGAATGGAAATGTCACCTGATTAAAGACTTGAGGATTTGTTTCTTAATGATGATGACACATGAGTCAAATCATATTCTCTTTCACAGATAGCAGTTAAAGAAAATGAGTGAAAGGAAGCTGTCTAAATAAGATTTCAAAGTTCCATTTTCCAACTATGATTTGCTGTTAACAACTATACATAGCAAATATCATTAGCTGTAAATCAATATAATTATCATTTTACTAAAACATTACATGTTTAAAATGTATCGTAAATTATGGTGCCGACAATGGCGGTGGGAAATAATTTTTTTGTAATGTAAGTAATATCTCAAACCTTTCATTGAGGTTGGAATTTTATTTGTAAGCCTATATGTTGCAGTAAACATATGAAGTATTATTTCTCCGTAAGTCTGACACTGTCTTTTTGACAAAAGGAAAAAACTCACCAAAACTGGATAATAAAAGATGAACAGAATTTAATGCTCCTTAACTAACTTCAAACATTGACCAAATGGTGATTGATGGGTGTAGAAAATTCATGCGTAAAACATGTGGAGATGTCTTAGACAATCTTAAAGGAGAATGCTATCAGGTAATCTCTTTGTTGCCTTCATTGCAAGTAACATTTACAAATTAAAGTATGGCTTAAATGTAGATTTAGACCTGGCAAGGTGGTGTTTGGAGATTGTTTTTATATGCCATCTGACTTCTTAACATTTTCTTAATCCATACCTGCAATTCTAAATCATAATACAGTTTGCACCAGGGTTTGGATTCAAAACATTGATCCACTAACTTTGAAATATTTTGAAATATTTAACTCTCTACCTCCAAATCTTTCTGCTTTTTTAAATATTTCTAACCCACACTTGGAATAATAAACCTGGAGTGTAATAAGGCATATTCCATAACCAAATAGATGAGTAAAAGTGGTTAATAATGATATAAAAATAGAGTATGCTACCTAAAAACTCCCAGTAACAACTGACTGAGAAGTAATACAAAGCATAGACTTAATTCAAAGTTTGTGCATCCTTTAGAATCTCAGGTTGTTCACATGATAAGGGTTTTAATTTAGTTTCATTTGTGCTATTTGCTGAAATCTGTTGGTAAATTCTATACAGTAAACTTCCGATAATCCAGCACCTTTAGGACCCAGGGGGTGCCGGATTATCAAATATGCCGGACTATCAGAAGGGGGGGCTAGAAGGGGTCTGGAGTGGGGTGGGAGGGGATGCCACCCAAGACCCCTCATAGCCCCCCCTTAAGATAGTCCGGCTCTGCCCCAGGCGTCCCTGATTCAGCCACTGCTGGTCAATTTCAGCAGCAGCTGAATCGGGGTTGCCTGCAATAGAGCAGCTCAGGTGCTGCCGGGTTGGTCCCGCAGTGCTGAGGGGCGGCGCTACGGGACCAACCGGGCAGTACCCCAGCTGCTCTGCCCCAGGCGTCCGGATTCAGCCTGCTGGTGAAACTGACGCTGCTGGTCAGTTTCAGCAGCGGCTGAATCCCGATGCCTGGGGCAAAGCAGCTGGGGTGCTGCGTGGTTGGTCCCGCAGCGTCGTCCTTTGGCGTTGCGGGACCAACCCGGCAGCACTCCAGCTGCTCTGCCCCAGGCGTCCGGATTCAGCCTGCTGGTGAAACTGACGCTGCTGGTCAGTTTCAGCAGCGGCTGAATCCCGATGCCTGGGGCAAAGCAGCTGGGGTGCTGCGTGGTTGGTCCCGCAGCGTCGTCCTTTGGCGTTGCGGGACCAACCCGGCAGCACTCCAGCTGCTCTGCCCCAGGCGTCCGGATTCAGCCTGCTGGTGAAACTGACGCTGCTGGTCAGTTTCAGCAGCGGCTGAATCCCGATGCCTGGGGCAAAGCAGCTGGGGTGCTGCGTGGTTGGTCCCGCAGCGTCGTCCTTTGGCGTTGCGGGACCAACCCGGCAGCACTCCAGCTGCTCTGCCCCAGGCGTCCGCAAGAGCAGCTGGGGTACTGCCGGGTTGGTCCCGCAGCCCTGAGGAGCAGCGCTATGAGACCAACCGGCAGCACCCCAGCTGCTCTGCTCCCGGCTTCCCCGATTCAGCTGCTGGTCAGTTTCAGCAGCTGAATGGGGGAAGCCTGTCCGGCTGCCCCAGCACTTCCGGGTTCCTGATGGTGCCGGACCATCAGGAGTCCCGGAGCATTGGATGCCGGACTAATGGAGTTTTACTGTACTAGGGTTGTCAACGTGTAGTGGACTGTATGATTAATTGATAAGATTAGGTTTATTGGTTAATCTTGTGGACTACACGCGTTCCTCCCACCTCTATCAGAGGCTTCAAGGGAGGGAAGCAGGAGCTTGGGGGAGCTGGTTTAAAAGCTGGTTTTCCCCCCCCAGCATTGGCTCCGTGGCTGTCCCCCCAACCCACACTACTGCTTCAGTCAGAGACAGCAGCGGGGGAGGAGTGGGGGGCAGGGGAAGCTGCCGTGAAGCAGCCTCTGTCCGTGGTGGCCTGGGCTGGCTGCAGGCAGAGCAGAACGGGGCGGCAGGCAACTGGTCTATGCAGAGAGTTGGCTTTCAAACTGGCTCCTCTTGCAAACCAGCTCCCACCTGGCACCTTGTGCTGCTTCCTCTGATACAGTGGCAGTAGCACGGGCTGCAGGGGCTCCCCAGGAGTGGGGCTGGAGCGCACTGGCTGCTGGCTCCACCCCTGGGGACTAGCAAATAGTCATGTAATTGCTAAGATTTCATGAGGTTACATGACTATTCAGTTACTCAGTATCTAACATCACTGTCCTATACATATCAATAAATATTTAAACTCCCCCTCCCTGCCACTCATTAGAAAGCAGAAATGGTTACTGGGAAGGATATGTAATGAATGTCTGTTAGAGAAAGGAAACTAGCCCAGATCTACAGGATCAATATCTTACCCACAAGGTTATTTTTCCTCTGGACAGATCCTTGAATATGAATTAGTTACCTTAGAGAGAAATGAGCAAAAATTGCATGATATTTGTCCCATGTCAAGTGCCTTTCATCCGAGGATCTCAAAGCTTGCCTTTATCTTGTGAGGCTAACAACTACTTCCTCATCAATAAAATTGGAGAATAACAGAGGTACAAATGGTCTTAAATGTTCACCCAGCAGTCAGTGACAGAATTGGCAATGGAAATTCTGGTTGTCTACTATATCACTCTCCCATCCCATTCCCTCGGCATTGCCTCCTTTCTGGAAGTGTAAAAAGCTAAGTTTAGAGCCATAAGTGTAATTCCTATATATCATGTTCATTCCAGTCAGTCAAAGAGGATTGTGATCACTTATTAAAACAATACTTTTTTAGGTTCTAATAGAAGACTGTATTCCAGTACTGAAGAGGTATGCCAAAGAAGGAAGGATGTTTGATTATGTAATTAATGATCTGACAGCTGTTCCAATCTCCACATCTCCAGAAGAAGGTTAATTCTCTGCTTTTCTAACTGTTTTAATATTTCACTTTCTTAATAGTTTGTAGCAAAATATCATTTTATGGTTGAAAATGAGGGATTTTTTTGTTTTTGTTTAAATGGTGCTTCGTGAGAGTACCCTGGGTTGTAAGGAACATTGCTTCCCCTCCCCTCACCACAGCTTCCCCCTCTCCTCATCCACCCCCGACTTCCTGTCTTCAGCTTGAGGAAGCCTGGTCTGTACATACCATGGGTGAGCTCCCAAACTCCACGAACAATATAAGTACTCAGCCCTGCTCTCTCTTTTTTGGTTAGTGAGAGGCACACTCCAACTCAAGAGCATCTAGCCCCATGAAACTCCTGTGTCAATTGTATCAAAAGCTAAATAGCAGAGTGCAACAGTGGGGTACAACTACACTGCAAAAACCAAACCAAACCTGTGGCAGTGAATCTCAGCTTGAGTCATTTGATGTAGGGCTCATGCTAATAATAGTAGTATAGATGGTCCCACCCACCCCACCCCCGTTGCTGGGCATCAGAGCTTGAGCTGCAGCTCAAGTGGGCACATCTGCACTATTTTTCGTCCTCTAGTATGAACCCGAGTTAGTTGATGCCAGAGTCTGATGCTCTCTGATATGCAAGTATAGACATACCCACAAGTAGCACATTCCCTCCACCCCTTCCCCAGATGTTGGTGGTGATAGGACTGAGTTTGCAATGAAGTAAAATATACATTTTCCAAGAGTTTGTTTCAGCCATGTCAGAGTCTCATTAAGGAGTCCGTGGGGTGATATTTGGAGTAGTTTTTATGAGTGACATGTGCATTTTAGATCAAAGATGCTCTTATAATTAAGTGGGGATGGGGACTAGATGACTTGATACACTGAATAAAGGACACAGTATGCAGGCCAAAGAGGGGAAAATATACTTTGTGAGTCATATGGAATAACTGCACAAGACCATCCACTTCAGTGGATATTCAAGAAAGATGGGCAGCCTCCTCTGCCTTCTTCCCCCTCGCCCTCCCCCCCAACCCCCCCGCAGCCTCTGTGTGCAGGGAGTTTGGACTCCCTCCATGGACAGGGGCTGCTGTCACCCCGTGCTGCTGCCTCTGTACTGGAGGCAGCAGTGTGGGTTGGCAGGCAGCCAGTCCATGAGGGGAGCTGGTTTTTAAACAGGCTCCCCTTGCAGACCAGGTCCTGCCTGGTACCCCTCGCTGCTGCCTCTGATCCAGGCAATCAGAAGAGCTGGATTGCACTGGCTGCCCGCCCCACCCCCAGGGACTATAGAATAGTCAACTAACTGCTAAGAATTCATGTGGTTAGTCAACTATTCTATTTCTCGCTATTTAACATCCCTACTTGCTTCATCGATGCCCCTAATCTGGGTGGAAATTGCATTATCTTATTAGTATTGAAATATTTTTCTATTGGCATTCTGTGCTTAAAAAATCCAACTATGGGCATCAAAGACTTGTTTCTTTTTCTTGAAATTTTCTTTACCATTTAGTTTGACTATAAATACAGGCTGCTGAATTGTGTGAACTCATGAAAATAAGTGTGGGAATTCACACTACAGGCTAAGCAAAGTTTTTCAGAAACTCTAAAAACCCATACAAATGCCAGGAGCCCAGATTCTAGTAACCAACACGTTATTAAAACAAATGGAGAAA